AAAATGAGTGTAGAAGAATACTTAACCTGATTGTAAAGAATAGGAAATAAAATATTTTGAATTTTTAAACAAAATTTACCAAAATTAATATTTTATCGAACTTGTAAATATATACAAATTTAACTTCTTGAGTTATTTGTGCCACACATTGGAATAGTAAAATAATATTACAATAGTTAATACTAATTTTTAGTGATGGAAATTATTCAATAGTAACTATCAAACTATTTGATAGATTTCCACTATTCAAACTATTCGATAGTCATTCAAAAACTAATCGAATATTAAAAATATTCGATAGTTACACAATATATTCGATAGTTTTTTAAATATTTGATATTTATGCTAAAAATAAACTATTCGGTTGTATAAAAACAATTCGAATAGTTTGAATATTCGAAAATGTCCATCACTACTAATTTTTTTCAAACGAGTTATCTTAAGTGAAGTACATTAAAGTTGATAATATAATCCTTGTAATTTAATAATAATCATCAATTATCAAAGATGTTGTGCATAATCTATTAATTTAATTTGACCTCGCACTAATGAATATTAAAATATAATCAATCAACGATTAGTCGCTAATTACATTTCTGATATAATAAAAGGTGTACACAAAGGAAATTAAGGAAACTACAATTTAATTATTAAAATAACAAAATTACACTTTAATTTTTAATATATTGTATATTTCTAATATTTATCTAAAGATTATCATTTACAAAAACAAAAATGATGGGAATCCATCTTTATTTTTAATCTAGTTTTTCATTTTCATTGAGATTCATGGTTATTAAATGTACTTTAAATATTTAAAATTTAAACTTACCAATGATGAAATATCTTTAATTCAAGTTTGTGTACTTAGAAATAAAGTCAAACATTGTACTATTAGAAATTCCATCAATCATTTCCTAATATTTCGATAGAAAACTAAAAACAAAATATACCTTTTATCGTATAGAATTTCATTGTTGTTTATTATTTCAGTAAAAATTATAAATCAATACTTCCATATATTTTCTTGAAGGTACATTAATGTTTTTTTAATAATTTCTAAGTTTTTAATTTTTTCGAAAAAATTATAATTGATAAATTGACCAACTTCTTTACGTCGAAATAAAGTTTAAAATTACATTTTTTCTTATACAAAATTATCCGATGAAAAATAGTAAAAATATTAAAATTACCATTGAAATATGGTATTATGTTTTTCAAAATGTAATTTAATTTTTGTAACTTAAATTTACACTTTTTTCTAGAAATTATGAATATTTGCTATACATTTTTTGAAAACAAATTTTTATCATCATATTTTTAAATTTATCTTAACTCATAAAAAATATGAAGCAATAATATTTTTTGTGGATATAAATTTTATTTATCGTATTAATTGATGTGTTATGGTCAAACAAACATACTGTAAAAAAACACTTTGAAGAATAGGTTAATTTTAAATATTTATCGTTTTATTTCTGTACCAAAGGATTGATATCAAATATTTATAAATATGAAGTTTTTGCAGCGAAATAAAGTGGAAACTTTACATGGAAAGTTGTAAAAATAAATACCAATCTATACTAGAATAAAATTTACAAAGTTGAATTTTTTTTAATATTATTCAAAATAATAAAATTGTATGAAATCTCTGAATTGTGTATTTAAATAAAAGAATTCTTTAAAATTTAATATAATTTAATATATAAAAATAGGACATTTAACAAAAAGAAATTATAAACCAATTATATTTTTTATTATTTTACAAGTTAAATTTGTCGCATTATAGGTAATGAATTTATAACAAATAGTTATTTGTTTAGAAAATTAAAAAGCAAATTGATGGGGTTTTGTATACGACATCTCATATAAGATAAGGCTATCAACATTCTTTTATATACAAAGGCATGGAAACCTATTTATTTAGAGAAAATTGTTTTTGAAAATGGTTCGAAAACTATTAGGTCATGGCTCTAACGGTAGTGCGTTATGGAATATCAAGACGGACGAGTATATTACCCTTTCTAATTTTTAGACGTCCGTAATAAAATGAAAAAGTGCAGCAAAGAATATATTCAACAATAAATATTGCTGTGAAGCTTAACATTGCAAAGCACTTTAAGATTAAATTGTGCTCGCATAACAATTTTAAATATAATTTCTAAAAGACAACTCAAAAAATTAAATATAATATGGTTATATTTTAATCATTATTACGAAAAAAAATATTCCATTAAATATCTATAGCAAATTATGAAAATACTAGGTATCAAATTTAAGCAATCATACATTTTTAATTATTTATAAATTTGATACTTTTATAAGAGAAATTGTACTTATTTTTTGTAAAATAAAATAAAAATAAAAATGTTAAAATTAGTCAATGTAGCAGTTACACATAGTAGTATTATATTTTTCATGTAAAAATTACACAACAGCGATTAAATTTTTTATTTAAAAGTCTTATATGATATTAAAACTTGGAAATAATATAAATGAAATACTTCACTATATATAAAATTTTACTCTTTTACTTACTGCTTTTCTTTTCAAACTTAGACAAAATGAAAGAGAAAACTTTTTTGTTTTACTTGAGTTTAGCTAATAATCATAAAACTTGTTTTTTCAAACATTCATCTAGGGTTTTTTTATTATTATTTTATTTTGTTGTCTAAGAATTGTTTTGATGAAACACTGCATGCCGTGAGCAGGGCTATTATGGAAATTAGTTAAAAGAAAAAAAAGGACTTAGTGTTACCAATATATAATGAAAAACATATATTTTAAGTAAATACTTCATACTTTTAAAAAGTAACTTTTCCATTGACAGTCAATTTTTTTATTATTGTTTTTGTTTGTAATAAGAGAAAACACACTACTGGAGTAAAATATAATAGAAATATAATATATGCAATAATAAAATTCTGATACAATTTAATTAATTAAAATTTCCTGTATTTGAATTACTGTTCGCTATTAAACTGAGCAATATCTTAATGAAAAAATATGAATTTTGTAAAAGACATTTAGTTTAAGATTTATTGTAAACCGGTAAAAAGTTTTCTGACACGAATTTCTTTTGACATAAATATTCTGACTATTCATATAAAATGTCAGTCCATCAAATAATGTTCAAAATTTAATAAAAAGTTAGTCTTATAATTGGATCACTGCATTTTCTTTAAAATTGACTTTTTTCTATTGTAACTTATTTTTATATTTTTCGTATTAAAAAAAAACATGTAGGACTACGTTAAAAATCTCTTAATCTAAAAAATAATTATCTTGTCTCAAAATTTATGTTCCCTTCGTAGGCTACATGAGAGAACTTATTAATAGAACTGATTTTTGATTAGATACTAAATTGTCTATCGTACAGCTTATGAGAGGAAATTCCGATTGAAACCTCTTATTAAGTTATGGCATGCAGATGCTTTATGATTACTGATATAATTTATTATAAAAAAAAAAGATTATTTTTTTTTATTCATAGAATATAAAAAACGACCTTTAATCTTTATTATATGTTTAAACAATAAATAGTTAAAACAAAATTACAATATAAAATAATATTGAACAATACATTTTTTTTTAATTTATTTAATACCCACAGGATAGTTATGGCGTTGACTAATATCTTAAAAAAAACTAATTAATGTTATTAAACATTTTACATGAATGTATATCTTTTATTAAAGTATCAATAGTTAAAGATGGATACAATAAATATATATATATTTAGATGTAATTATTATCAATGTATTTTTTTACTTTTTATTAACATTAAGATTTTATCTGGACTTACAAATATTTCAAAAACTTCAGGTTTATTTTAAGCATTTTACTAATATAAATATCTCGCGAAAACGGAAAATATATACAAAGAAATTAGTTTATTCAGCTGGAAATTTCTGCTTCAGTGCGGATGTGTAATAAAAGCGAATATTTTAGTACGAATTTGGTAGTTTTATTATATTATGCGTACTAAATACTCTAATAATTAATAGTTTGTGATAACACTTGCAAAATAACATATTGTCAATTTCGTTTTTTAAATTTAATAGTTTTAATTAAATAATTAAGCAAGTTAATTTAAGTCGAATTGTCCACTAAAAATTATGTATGTTATACGAATGAATGTTGATGATAGAAAATTAATAACAATATTTGCATCAATTTGTATGTTTGGCTTTGATGTATAATAGCTATTAACAGTTGTAATAGTGTTTTTACCCTATTAATTAATTAAATTTTAAGTACTATAAATATTGCGATAAAAGATTTATGTTTATCTAATTGCATAAGCGTATTATATTAGATATGTTTAAATGTTTCTTTTAGACATTTTCCGATATAAATCTTTACACAAATAAAACTAAGTATTTTCTGGCAAACCCGGACGTGATTTTTAATTTCAGATAGTATATCTTATTTTTTTACATTAATCAGCTTATCTTAATACTGAAAATGTTGATCAAGAAATAATATATATATATATATAATTAATAGAACACAATAAAAATAAGTTCTCTTAATTAATATAATGTCGTAATGATACCAAAAATAACATTGTTCTATATAAAAACAATAATTTATATCATTTGTATTAAGTTATCATTTAAAATCCATTGCACATCAAATATTGGTTACCTAATCTATAGACAATACAATATAATATATTAAAAGTTGTATTTGGCTATGATTTTACTAAAAAAAATTTGTACTGTTAAAATGATTTATTCAAAAATTTAGTTTATTATGATAAAATATATGAATTATAGTAAAGAGGTATGACAAAAATACATGTATAAATGTATAGACAGTTGTTTTTAGAAAATTTCGTACGTTTTCTATTATAAATCAACGTGACGTTAATATCTATAACATAAAAACCTACATTATATTAAGTATTTTTTCATTATTTATATAAAATATATGTATGCACTTTATAAACATGAGCAGTATAATATAAGTATTATGTATGCGTATAATTTATTCAGAATTTCTAGGCATGGCAGTTTAATTTTGTGTCGCTGTGTTTCATATTCGTTCAAAAAGTTTATAGCCGTTAGAACATGAATGGAGATTACAAGTGTGTATGTATATCTACCTTAGGATCTTGATAAAATAGAACAATATATCAAAAAATTCAAACACTCAAATGTGCGCAAGCAAAGGGTTATTAAGATGTATAATAGAATCATACAAAAGTCAATATCAAAAATGGAATAAAAAACAAACAAGTCGACAATTTTATGTATGTATTGTTTATGAAATACGTCTAAGTACAAGTCTATCGAAATACGAATTTTATTTTAACAGCTAGATAATAAATTCTAAATAAACTGCATGATTTTTCTCAAATTATTAAATTTGTACATAAATTAATAAACATTTATAGGACGTAGGGTTTGGTAAAAAAATTAGAACCAGATTAAATTCATAAAAAAAAATCTTTTTTTTGTACGTTTGATAGTGAACACTAACACTATAAATTATGATCCTAGTGTGATCATGTGTTACTCTGGCTTTTTAAATATTTTTACAGAAAATACATTGTCTAAACGCACGATATCCACGTAATTGACGCACGATGTGGTGTTTAAGCTGATAACTTTGGGGTTTTAACTCTTTCCCTGTGGGAAACACTTTTGGGACCTCGCTACGAAACGTCATAAACCATACGGAATTTGAAATTTTATTAGGTTTGACGTAAAATAATATTAATTCAACTATACTATTAAACTACAGACGAGAACAACTGTCGCCAAAGAGTATCAACTTACCATTGCTGAAGTCATAAATTTTATAGTATTTTAAAATTGTTATTTCGTCATTATTTTATTTCAAGTTCTTTAAATTTTTATATTTAATGCACTAACTTATTTTAAAAATTTGATATTGAAATAAATTCATTATAATACAATAATAATAAAATTTTAATGGAAAGTTATTTTTGCAGTCATTATTTGTTAGGGTTCTTGAAAAATGTGTAATTTAAATAAATTTGAATAAAATATTTTATTTTATCTCGGCCTCTGTTAAACTAGGACAATCGCAAATGATAAAAATGGTCACAAACATACATAATTTGATAAAAATAGTTTTTTTTTTGGTAAACATTTGTGATAGAATGGGATGGCTTACGGTAATCTCATAAAATTAGAACGTAATTCGAGTTGTCATTACAGATAATGCTTTAATTTCAAATGACGTCATTCCACTTTGTTTCGTTCATAAAACACTCAAAGGCATTTCATTGGTATTTTGGCAATATTATATTCACTTTTATAACATGTCATAAACTTGTTTTAAATTAAATAATTTTCATGATATATTAAAATATTTTTATCATACTTGTTGTAGAATAAAAAGTAAAATGTTTCGTATAATAAAAAATTAAAAGGTAAAACAAGTGAAGTACAAAAATAATAAAATTATTAAAATTTAAAAATCACGCACTTTAATATAGTAAAAGTTTTCTTTTTATATAGTTTTCTTTGACTGTTGTAATTTGTTATAGTATTAGTTTTATAACATATTATTTATTTATCTTTTTATTCTTTTATCTTTATCAGAGATTGAATTTGACATGATAGTATTTTATTTAGAGGGCAAATTATTTTGTGGTTATTATTCAAAAATTGATGTCATTTTTAGCAAATTTTTAAAAGAGCAAAAATAAATTAAAATTTTCAATTGTGTCTTTTAAAAATTTAAATTTTTGAAATACAAAAGCAAATCATCCCGATATCAATTACGAACGCATGATTTTTTTAAGGGTGATGACGCAACATCTATGATTTTATCGCCTTTTCTGCACGTTATCTAATAAATTCTTTCCTCTTATTTTAATAAAATCATAATAGGTAAATAAACAGATAATGTTGATAAAATAGTATTCTAGTTTAAAGCAATATATATTTGTAGGTCAAGATAATTTTAAAACATTTTTTAAATACAAATTTTGAAAATATTTATTATCTTTTTCATTGAAAAGCGAGAGCTCGTAAAAGTTTGGCGTACAAGTATACTTTCAAATTTATTTTGTAAATTTCTAAAATTAATTTATTATACGTGAACAAGTTGATTTGAAATACGTTAAAGAAACATAAAAAGAAAAAAATACTATATAAAGCATTTATTAAAGGGGGGTGTCATTCCCCGGTACTCCCTTAATACTATCCGATGTAATGATTTGTAATTACTTGACATATGAAAGACAACATCATCCTCTATAGAAATTATAAAAATCTCAAACCCCAAATTTTTATTAAGTAGCTTCAATTAATAGATTTTTAAATAAAAGCAAATGGCTTTTATCATCCGTAAAAAATTAGTAACAGCAGTCTATACTAAGTAGAAAATGAATGAGGCCACTGTTTTAACAAAAAGGTTTTTCTGTTCATAACGTATCACAAACAAAAACAGTCTTATTGAATTGCTTAAAATAAACGATCTTTATTGTTATTAGAACATTGATTTTTGGGGTTGGATAGTTCTTTTTTTTACGTTTATATTACTAAATATTTGTCAAAAACGTATTTGAGTCGAAAAAAAGCATTATTTTAATAAATCTTTCCTTACAATTTACATTGAAATTTTTAGTAACATGATTATATTTCTTTATTTCAAATACTAGTCGATTTAATTAATATTCTCTTTATTTTGTTCAACAAATTGTTACGTATTACAAAATAATATAATAATATAATAACCTTTATATAATGGGAAAATTAAAAAATGATATTATATATTTTGTATTTATGTCTTACCTCTAGTTGTAATAATAATATTTTTGACTTTTTATAATAAACCGTTCAATAAAAATATGCTAAACGGGTTTTTTTCTTTTTAAGTAATATATTACTCTAATTAAAATTTTTTTATAAATTTATTAAATGTGATTCTTAGAAATGATTTTTTAAACTAATTGGTTTTATTTTCCAAGTTTACTCCATTTTTTTTTTACTGTATCTTCGTATAAAACAAAAAAAAAAATGATACGATAGTGAAATTATGTTATATAACTTTATTTTTTTCATTTAAGTATTTTAAAAGGAATCTAAGCTTATGAAAATAATAGTAACACATTGAACGTTTTGAATACCTGAAATAAAAAATGATATTAGCCTTAAAAGAAGAAAAGAAAAAAAAAATTAATCTAATTTAAGTATTTTTCAGAAAAAATAAAGGAAACCTAAAATTTAAAGTGATTTAAGTATCAATTAATTTTTTTAATTTTGTTATATTCAAAAAACTATTCTACTATTTTCAAATATAATTTTAATAACCTATTATGAATTTTTTTATGAAATTAAATAATTTAAATTTCACTAAAAATTTCTATGCATTAATTGAAATATTATAATGATATAATTATAAATTCCCTATATAAAAGAAATAAATATTGGTAATTAAAAAGAAGGGTTTTAAAAATTACATTTTTTGAATACTTATTTTTTTATTCTAAAGTAGAATTTACTCGGTGATAAAAATATATATCTATAAAAAAAACTATACGTAAAATTTTGAGAATCGAATTACCTAAGATTTAAATTTATTAAAATAAAAATAATATTATCCGTTTTATATTATTGTTATGGTTATTTATTGATATTTAAATTTGTATATTTACAATTAATATTACAAAAACTAATAGTCACAAACTAACTAGTGTCTAGTAAATTGTTAAATTCAATACTTTTAGAATTTTACGTTTTGTAAAAACGGAGCACTTTAAAATATCATAACACGTATATAAAGGATAAACCACATGATTTTGTTGAAAATATCCAATTAATAAATAATTCGAACGGTACAATAAATTTTTCTATAATTAAAAATACGTCTATGAAATCATAAATTTATGAGTTATCTCCGGCATATCACTCTTTGCAACCGAATATCAAATCGTTAGCTACTACCAATGAAACCTCAAGCGATTTTAGCATTAGTGTAATTACTCAAGTATATAGCTTAAGTAATCAATCACCGCATGTTCAAACAAATGTANTACAAATGAAGTCTATACTTCAAACTAGGCAAAATTGCCAAGTGTGACGACTTCCAATAACAATTTAGTTTCAGCAATCTCGTTATATTTTTTTAGAAGTTATGCTAAGAATTTCTGTGAAAATCATATAATTTCTGCTACATCTAATATAAAAAACAGTTATTATGAGAGCGAGAAAAACCAATACCACTATTAGAAAGAACAAAGATTTATTTTAAATAAAGCAACAATGGTGTATGTTAAAAATTGATTAAAAATTTTCGTTTAACTTTGTTTCTGTACAGATATATTATTTATTTTCAAGGGTTACTAGATTTGCAGAAGTATAAATCGTTTATTCTACAAAAATTAAAAAGTTACTATATTTTTATATTAATTAAAAATCATAAATTTGTTAAATAATGTATTTTACTTTACATATATATGTTTATGTAATATTTTGTATTATAATTATGGTTTAGTGGTAAAAATTAATATTATGCATAATTTCGTGGGCTGGAAAGAACCTAGGTTTCTTTATTAAAACGCAAGACGAGTGAGTTTTAAAGTTTTTTTTTTAAAAACCTTAAAATAATCTTAAAAACCCTATATCAAGTTATTGCCCGGATAGTTTTATCGATTTTTAAAAAAAAAAACTCGACTTTAAAAATAAATATTTTTATGGTTAAATTTTTAATTACTTATATTAAAAATTATATTACTCTCATAATGTTTTCCTATATGTATATGTTTGAGTAACAAGACACTAAATACTTCATTGCCATTCGTTTTACACGTTATTAAATATTTATTTAAAAAATGCTATATCTTTGAATGGAGAATTGGAGTTGTAAACCAACCTACGGATTGAAAATATATATATATATATATTTTTACTCTAATGTGGTATGTTATGGTTTAGATTGGATTTTTCGTTATTTTATTTTAATTAAATTTTGATATTACAAAATTAAACGTTGAAATTTTAATATTATCTGTCTAAAGTTTAAATGGTATTACATTAAACAACTATGAACAAAGTATCTAAAGTTTTGGGGATAGTCTATGTTATGAGTAAGATACTTCCTAAAGTAAATCGAAACCAATAAATTTTTCCTACGTCCATTGCAGAAACATAGAAATCAAGATTTATAGTTTGTTATTGGATCAAAAGAAAGAAATACAGCTGAATGAGAGCAATATTAAAACAAAATAGACAAGAGAAAATTTTTAAGGAAAATTTCGAACGTTAAAATGTAATCTGTCTGTACTCAAAAGTTTAATAAAAATAAAAAATATGTGACTTAATAAGCGGTTTAGTTTTTTTTTTTAAATACCTACTTAAAATTTCAATAAATTATATATTGGCAAAATGTAATATCTTCCAGCTATAACAATATCTAATAATAGACTTCGCCTAGGCCAACCTCGTAAGTAGGCTACTGATTCCGGTAAAAGTACCCGGCTACACCGGGCTCGATAAGTATTTTGCAGGAAAAATATTCCATTAGAATCAGTATAACAAAAATATATTAAAAATTGAATTATTAAAATCAGTAAAATTCAAAAAGAGAATATAGAAAATGTATTAGGTATATAGTTGACGTTCGTTAATGAGGTATTCCCCTTGAGCATATTGAGAAATTATTTTAGGAAGGTATTTAATTTGTTTTACTTCGATGCTATACAATGCTATATATGCTATAGTATTTTTTTTTTGCTAAAAATCAAAGTGATGATCAAAAAAAAAAGTTCATTAGGTTCTTCTTTCTTAGAATTTACCCAAAAACAAATATGATAGCGCTGATTCAAGGGTGGCAACCGCCTATATCCCCCTTAACTTCGCCCCCGGTATACAAAATAATTATTAATATTATAATTACAATAATTTTATTTATATTATAGAATAATTAGAGTGATTAATTAAAAATATTGGTTACTGTAATTTGACGTTGGACAGGATAATTGTCATATGGATCCCAATTTTTACGATAAACGCAGACATTTAAATCATATATGAAATAAATAACATCATTAATACTGTACTATTCTGATAATAGATGTACAAACTTATATAATTATACCGTCCTGAAATATATGTATAATTTATTTATATATAACATATAACATTTCTTGATAAAATATAAAAAATATAGTGCTATGCCCAATTGCAAAATAGTATCCAAATATAAACTCTGCGTGGAAAATAAAAAGTTCAAAGTGAAAAAAGTAAAATTGAACAGTAAAATAATTGTAAATCAAAATTTCAAACAAAAGATATGTATATATATAAACAAATTTATATTATAAACATATTTAAAAGAAATCGACAGAAAATATCATAATAGAAGTACGCTTAATAAACTAAACATAATATATAAAATTAATAAACATAATATCAAAAAAAAAGGATAGTTAACAATTAATTCATGTATGACAACAATAATATTTATTAACAATGAATTGAATAGAAAATTAAATAGTTATAAAAATTCATATTTTACAAATTAAGGGTCACAATAAACATATGCGTAGAAATGAGTCAATATTAAAACAATGCGCATGGATTTTTTTTTTTAAAAAAAAGGTCGTAAAACGGTGAAAAACGAAAGGGTTGAATTAATTTTTGTATGATATCTTAGAAATGTAATTGAGCGGGTCTGGTNGGTTGAATTAATTTTTGTATGATATCTTAGAAATGTAATTGAGCGGGTCTGGTGAAAATTTCACACCTTAAGTCGTAAAACGCTAGCGTTAACGAGCGTTTTCATTAAAAACAATTGAAATTTTTAAACGCTTGTGAGAGAGCGGCAGAAAATTTCCGACCTTCACCAATAATTTTCCTGAGTCTCGTGACCGAGTATTTTCGTTGAAAAAATTTTTTTTGAAAATCCGAGCACGCTAAGTAATTGTTCCATAATAGCGTTATTTTACTTGTTCTATTATATAATAAAATTTGATCACTTTTCGATTTTTATGTTGAAGAAAAATATTTTAAGGATCAAAATGTTTTTACGGTAAGAAAGGTGCAAATTCATTTTGTCGTTAAAACGGGTATAAACAATAAATTACAATAATTTCTTAGTGAAGGTCGAACATAAATCTTCATTTATGACCTTGTAGTTGTATGACCTAAATATTAATAACACAAAAGTTCAACATGTAATCTATCTTATATTAAATGTTCAAGGATGTTAGTGGTATTAGTAATATTTTCTATACTATATTAGATCCTATTACTGTCGTAAATAAAATTGTTGGCAGTAAATTAATTTAATAGTGTATAAATTCATGGGAGAATAAATTTAATACTTCGTTAGGCTAAACATTGGGCCTTAGAATTAATTCTCGGCAGATAGTTTTAAGCAATTCTTGAAAACTTGATAGTACGTTACCATTGAATGGTTTATTTTTCTTAAACAAAGTGATTCATTTATCATGAATCCATTTAATTAATCTAAAAATAAAAATAGAATTGAGAATTTTTCATGTTTCTTTTAGTTACAGGGTTTTCAATTTAAAATTATACTACTGTATTGAAAGACAGTATAAAAATAAAATAAAGGATTGTTAAAAAAAATCTGTTTTTGTGAAACCAATTCATAAAAATATTTTTATAACAGTGGCATATTTTACTGTGATAAACAATGAAGTATATTTTTTCACATGCAACAGACTTTTTTTCGTGACGTATCCCAAATAACGGTATTGGCAATAACGGAGGTAGTACAGCATGTTTAAATTATATGCAAAGGCATTTGAACCGTGTAATATGCCGGTAGAAATTGTGTGAATGTTTCTCTATTGTTTGCATATACCACGAGTAACCCTATAACTCTGGCCCCGAGAGGCCGGTGATGCTATATTTTACAGTGGTTCGACAATAACACAAACCCTAAACAAAAGTATTGACTGTAATTTAATTTTTGTCTAGTGTCCCGCGGTTAACTTGCAGATTTACCCAAGCGAACTAAACTCGACTGCTACAGCATGAAAATTTTCATCCTTCCCATTTCAAAGTTAAATAAGGTCTGAAAATAGTACATAATGACAATGTCAACAGATAATAAGTACAATAGAGAAAAAACTGCAACTCATTTTAATATGTTGACAAATCATAATTACATTTTAAATCTGTAGCACGGTCGATTTTTAATGGCTATATCTAAACTAAATTTACAAGAAATATTTTATTAAATAAGAATTTAAGTATAAAATGAGTAAAAATTATAAAAATATATAAAAAATGAAACTTAATTATTTTATTTTTGAAATTAAAATGAAAGAAAATGTATATTATAAAAAAAATTAAATGTAATATATAATAGATTTTTTAAAAACGATTCCAACTAAATTCTGAATTCTAAAAAAAATATCAAATTACAAATATGTTGGGAATCAAGGTAATATTTTTAAATATTATAATGCACATTTTATGTATCTAATAAAAACTTCAAGAAAAATTTTTTATATACATTCATTAATTTCCTTCATAATAACTGCTATTTCAGTTAATCACTGAATAAATTTAACAACAATTTCAAATAATTTATTAATAATCTTCATACATAAGTTGACTGGGAAAGTAAACAATTCGTTGGGAAAACATTGAGTACTTTTTTACAAGTCATGTTTATCTAATGAAATTTATTAGTATTAACAGTACTTAAACATTAACATACAGGCATGTTAATGTATTTTGAATTCATTATTATTGTAAACAATATACTATTGTTATAATACATATACTTGTTCATTATTCTGTAGTCTATAAATTATTGTTTATTAGTCATCAAATGTAGTATAAAATATTAATGTCAATCCTTTAAACTATTCCGAGAAATATGTCTAAAAATGCATTAATTCAAATCTAATGTAATAACTATAAGAAATTCTTTAGTTGTAAGAAATTATCTATTTTAAGTAAAATAATATGTAATAAATGACACAATTTAGTAATAAACAGATAATAATAAAAAGTCGTGACACTTCTTGCACACATAGACGAATTAAATTTAATGTAATAGGATATAAAAAATGTCAATCACTACTACTACTTCACCTCATAAAGTTTCAACGAATGCAAGAAGTGGCTTGACAAAATACGATTTTACATAGAAAATTGAAGTATATTCCTTTTTTTTCAACCTTACTTCTGACATCATTAAGGTAAATTCATATTTCACTAAGATCTATAAGATCTATAAGGTTTAAATTTAAGTATAATGAGTACATAAATTAAGTAGGGAACCTGAAAAATAAAGTAATCTCTAGATTAAAATATTGTATAAATAAATAAATAAATAAATAACGTTTGCACGAAGTTAGCCAGCCTACTCCAATCTTTGAGTGGGTTACCTGTGTAGTCAATACTAATAAAGACTCTCTTGCGAAGATAGAGAACCCACTTGTAGTTCCTATACTACTCGAAGTATTTATTGACATGACTCACAGTTGGCACAAGCCTAGATAACTACTGGTACGAGTGGCGTTGTTTATAATCTATGTGTGATAATTAATCACAATAATTTATATTTCAAATTATTATTATATTAATAAATTTTCACACATCATTTTTCTATATTTTACATCTTCTCATAAAACCCTCGTACTCATATCCCAAGAGAAAATTGTTTTGTATCATTTTATTCAATAAATATCATAGTAACTCAATTATTTTCATGCTCATAAAAGACCAAAAATTTAACTAATTTTAATAAATCATTTTTAATCATTAATTAAATTTTTTATATTTATTTTTTGTGATACTATATTATGTACTATATAAAGTCTATATTAAAATTGTACTCGCGTACATGTAATTAAATGTAAAATAATTTGAAATCTCAGAAATTGTTTGCTATTATTTATAATAAGTGTTATTGTCATGTTTGAAATTTATTGCTTATTTTTATAAGAAAAAAAAAATTTTTTACTACTATGTATAGTTATTTGGCAAAATTAAAAAATAGTTATATATCTCATATATTTTCACTTTGCTTCAAACATTTTTATAACTGCACTAAAGTCGTTTTTTTGCTATGTGAATACGATTATGTGACCCGTTAATATTAATAGTGTGAGCACAATGACGTTAAGCGCACTGGCGTGTACTAAAATTGCATTCTCAGAATGCCGCGTGATCAATTATATCGTCATCAGTTGAAACTAACTAACTTTATTTGTTTAACTATTTAGGAAAGTATTTTTTTCTAAAAAGCAAAAATTTAACTAAATATCTAGGAATACCATCCGTTATTTTTCAAAGGTTAGGTATTGTGATAGTTTTTTTTATCTA